GGTTTAAGAGTTTTTAAGAGTTTAAGAGTTTAAGAGTTTTTAAGAGTTTTAGCCAAATGCTTTATAATATAGTATAGATATATATATATATATATATATATATATATATATAAAAGTTGTATAACTTTGATAAAGTAAACGTAAATCCTTCAATCATCCATCTTTTGTTTAGCTTTTTTCTCGTATGTCTCTTATTTGCTATTTCGGCATGTCTTGCTACCTTTTCTTAACGTGTGAGACTTCATATGTTTGTTTTCAAACATGTTTCATACGGATCCTTGAATCACTGCCTTTTTCTTTACTAAAACCTTAACGGACTCCTAATCCTCGGTTGTCTCCTTCAACCTCCTTTTGACACCACGACAATTCAACAACCACGAACATATCGATAACATGCATTTACCTTTTTATCCTAAACAACGAACAAGTGCAATTATCCGAATCCCTTGGTTAAATTAAATACATTCCGTTACATGTTTCCACACCAAGACTATAGTTGGTGAAAGAAACTTAGTCGATGCGTCTCCATTAAAGGGTTGTTTGTTAGCTGTTTTGATATTAAACTGCTTTACAGCTAATTTCTCATTTGCTCTGTATGCTTATCAATTACGTGAACGGTGAAAATCACCGTTTTTTATATGCCACCTATTTTGTCAGGACAAAAGTTGCAGCTTTATCTGATTCAGTTTGATATTGCTGCAATCGAATACCGTATCAGATGTAAAACCATATTTACTTTATTTTATCGTATATCTTGTCTCAGATATCTTGTGGTATCCTAAAGAATAACAATTTACCTTATCATTTTAAACTTCAAACACTAGTTCATTTAACAATTTTTTTATTAACCTGAATATCCAACCCGTTATGTGAGCCGACTAATCATAAAGTAACAACCCGTTTCGTAGGTAGCCCGAAGTCACCACATTTGAATCTCCATGGATATAAGGGGATTTTTATTCCTCATTGAATTCAAACCTGAGACCTCCAAATACCTTTTACCTTTGAAGCTCAAGATCAAACTAATCGGATACCCCTATTGTGGTTTTAACTTTCTTCTTAACCCCACAATATCAGAAACAAAAGCCCAACAATAAGTTAATATTTAATTATTTTAATCTGAATATCTATACTATATTATAAAGCATTTGACAAAAACTCTTAAAAATCATTTTTTGTGCATGAAGTACTGTTTATTGATGCATATTACTTAAAATTCAAGATTACAAGTAAATTGTGCATAAGTACTATGTTGGTCCCAAAAGGGTCTACAAGAATACTAAACAG